GTCGCTACGAGTCTCATAACGTGACGACCACCGCCCTTTAATGGTATCACGAGACGTGTGTACGCTAATTTGACAATACACTCGGAAATACCAGATGTACACACGAGGTAACTAATAAACCAAATCTAGCAAATTGAGCCATACAACGGAGTGCGATATATGGATCCGTGTAGACGTCGGTTGTTGAATATTGCTATATTTCTAAACGAACGAAGGTGATACACTCAATTCGCCGTTAGAGGGCGACACTTACTAGAAAATTTTACTTTACAATCCCATGCAAGTCACTATAAAAATGTGGTGGTTCAGAAATTGATTTATTCAAATAAACTATAATGATAATGATAATGATACAACAGTCATTATACATAACAAAATTGTTCCAATTCCAGCAATTAGTTGACCACCTATCCAAATATCTGGCGACAGAATTATCAGTAATGACGCCAGGGTTATGAAGCAATGATGATACAACTTGCAATCAAGCGTTGCCAAACTACTAAAATACATTTAACTAAGTAATAGAACGGATCTTGGGCAATTTACCAGATACAGTTGTATTCCATAACTTAAATAGCGTATGTACAAAAAAACAAAAAAACAGACATGCACAACATACAGACATATACACTGTTCTACACACATTGCAAGTTGGCGAAAATGATTACTGTGCATATGCAAAATCTTTTGAGTATATGCACACTTGAAACGATAATCTTTTTTAACTCCAAAATTTTTCCTGTGTGAATCTGTAATGGTCATCGCCAAAATATGGACACTGAAAACATAGTATATACCGATGTTGTACATTAAATCACTTGCAAGTAGAAAAAGATGGCCGCGGGGCTGGTCAACGCCATCTAATTAAATCCAATTTTGCCGAGCGAAATGGTAAACATACTGCTATCTTGAGAGGCTAAACCCCGATCTCTGATGGCTTATTATATAAGATTTGACGTGTCATTCCAATAATAGTATGCGTCGTGCGTCACAGTTTTCTAGGCCCCCACGAAAAAATAGCGACTACTCTACCCTTAATGTATACATCACATTTTATGTAATATTACGCACGTGTAGGGTCACTTTGCCCACGCAGTAGTGGCTTATTAAACAATATTTTGGTAATATTTATTCATCTTTATTTAGAAATAAAAATGTTCAAAGTCACAGCTATTGCTACTTTAATAGACAGTACAATCATGCACGGCAGGTGACTGGTTCTACAAATACTGGTCTACGAAACAGGGAAAGTACTGAAATACATTAACAGGAAATATTTCACGCAAAGTGCAGAAGCGTAATGATGCGAATATTATACGATAATAATTTAGTCTGGATTACAAGTACATGTATTTGAGCCCCACGTGCATCAGTTATACTTGATCTTGATTCTACTCTACGGTGTTGATACAACTATCACGTAAATGCATTTTGTGAAGATGGACGTATACAAAACGTTGTTCAAATATTTACCAGCATATGCGTGCTAACTTAACATTCTACAAATTAAATTTCTCTTCAATTTGAATACTGGTAAAGTTCGAAGATTAGACCCACGTTTGATAGATATTTCGCGTGACACCGTTTCGATAAGTTGCGCCCCTCTAGCGGCGAAACCAGTATGTGACGTATGTGGGAGTAGGACGATGTTCGTAGCGTCTATATTGTTTTTGTATGTAATCGTTTGTTTTTTAATGAAGTGCTCGAGAGGTCTGATGTATTCTACTACGAACGAAAATAGTGGTCTATCTGAACAACATTGCTAACACAAATCTACGCCATTTTGATGTCATAAAAGTGATAAGCCGCTAGAGGGCGCGATATAACGGAAAGGTGTATTACTGTAAAATACTTCATTTTCGCTTGGAATTAATTTTTGCTATTTTCACTAAAAGAATGATTCAGTGAAAATTAAATTTAGCAAATATACCTTTTTTTATATTTTACATTCAACTCATCAAAAATCAGTGAAAATAAATTCCATACAAGTCACCCAAAAAGTCTTTTCAGTGAAAATTAATTCCAGCTAAAATAAAGTATTTTACAGTAAGAAGAAAAAACTCTGCACTCAGAATATCGAGAGTGCAAGCGAGAGAATCAAATATTAAAATGTGTAACTGGTTAAACATCAAATACCCGTTGAAAAAAAAACATAGCAAGAACACGTTTCCAGTGTTCTAACACAGTGTTGAGAAAAAACATTTTATAAAACAAACCGATTCAGTTAAATTCAAGTTGCAAGTGATAACTTTTGATTATGACAAAAATATAGGGGAAAAAGAAAAGGTATCAGTGAGTAATAGGTGGCGATAAACGTACTGATGTCATGAAATTTATATGTCAATTTTAAAATTATGAATAATGTCGAACATGATTTATGGCATCATGGTGATGAAAGTCGAGGTGCTTAATAGTTCGAGTTACGGACAAAAATGTTCGAGTTACAAAAATGACCACGCCCATATTTTAGAAACCACACCCACTTTTGCGAGACCTTGTCCAAGTTGTAACTCTGTGTTCAATAAACTTTGTGTTATAGGCAACATACATTTTTTTTTGATGAACGCCCACATTTTCGTAACTCGATGCTCGTAACTCGATGTCCGTAACTCGAACATTTCAGCATCTCAGAAAAAGCAAACAAACTAGTTACTATGAATAACACCTGGTTCAAAAACATACTAAAATATTCCCGGTAGTAATCTGTAGGGCACGCGTGCGGTGTACCGGTTCCAGTCCTTGCCGTACTTGCATCTACAACGATGTTCATCGCGTATGCACCTATGCACCAATAATATGGTCATATAAATAATATAGAAATAAGGCAGCAAGTGGCCGAACCCTGTACACAGACAGTAGGACAACGACCCCATCAAATCACCGGTGTAGTTCATATGACGACTGACGCCCCACCACCCAGACACCAGCAGCTTACTCTGTCGTTCTGTGCCGTCCGATGAAACGTAACTACATTGGATATATTCAGGTTTCTTGCCCCAAATCAAGCAGTCCCCATCGTGGCTCCGGAACCAATCTTTCTGGTGGTTTACAGCGCGGAAAATGTAGTAACCAAGCAAGCCGAGCGTCAGCACAACAGCGCAATGAACAGGCGGTAACACAATGGGGTTGTAAACAAGATACAGTCCCTGCAAAAAATGTACATTATTGGTGGTCAATATTAGGGTGGCACGTTTTGATGTAAACAGCGTGGTCAGAATACGTTACATACGTGAACAAAAAACTGTGTCAACAAAATTAAGTCCCCATCGTTACGTCTACAGAAAGGAGACAGTAGGTTTAGCATTTTGTAGATTTAGGTGTGAAAATCTTCACAATTAATTCGGGAAATGAAATGTGCTGGTAAAGTTCCCTGACTTCAAACTTTTCAACCAAACTTCTTTCAATCACTGCAGTCTGGCTCTGTGTTTGTCCTGTTAAAATTTGAAATAATATGCAGTACACGTTTCAACAAGAATAAACATCGATCCTTTTTTTTTTATTTGTAAAATGTGTTAATTAACCAGTCACACAACCCCTCTCACTATCACGCACGCGACGCCCCTCAGCTCTCCGAGACTTACCTGCAAAGTGTAAAGATACGGCAGCCAGACGCAGTCTCCCCATCCCAGGTACCAACCAAAGTGATCGTGACAGATGTCAATAGTATGCAAGTACCAGGATTCGTTCCAGAAATAATCAACCACATACATACAGTGAAGGATATTCACTAAAATCATAGAGTTGGTCACGTGACCATACAGTTCATACTGTTTCCAGGCAAACGACAGGTTGATCAGAGTCCACGCTACAATTCCCGGGCGACCGTTGAAAAATAACTTGAAATCAAACCATTTGCCGATTCTGGGATTAAGCTCTACACCCATCATGAAATCATAGAAGATATTCCCGCTGCGCTTGCAGTCTTCGGCATTGGTGGGGAAGAATTTTGCTTTGATGTAGGCGAAAACAGAGACGAAATTGCCAGTAATGTTTGCCACCCAGAGAAGACCACCCCAGTTATCGAAGATAACGGTCGGCGAGAACCAGTTGAAGTAGAAGGCATTAGCAAACCAGACTATATGCGAGATGGTCCAAGCTTGGAGTCCATTCACTTGGTACCACATTTGGTTCCCTGCCGGAGTTACTGACCCTAGACGGATACCGCCTTTGTAATTTGGAATGATGTAATGAAGGACATCCGGAACGTTGTAGAGAAGTGCCTAGAAATAAACGTTAATTTAATATGACGTCATGAAATCAAGTTGATCTCAGTGAAGCATTTATTATGCATCATCAGTTGTCATTTTCACTCCCGCATCACAGACGCGTTAATTATTCGACGGTTTTTAATTTTGCTATTTTTGTTTATAAGTCAATCCCGAAAATTAAATCCACAAGAACTTGTAGAGTAGCAATATAACTCATTGTTTCCTAACCAAGTTTGTGAATCCCAGTGAAATTTCCCATGACATCAAAAATAGTTAAATTAAAGCAGGGGATCGACACCAGCGCACGCGCGGGAATTGAGTCCCAAGCGACGATAACACACGCTAACAACGCAAAGGCTCATGGGTAGACGCTTGTTTGTAAACAATGACACGCTATGGCCATCTGATGCATGCACAGGTAACGACTCCCCGCTTTAAACGTCGGTGAAAATAAACGTTTTTACAGTGAATCATTTGAGTAAATGCATTTTGAATGAATGCGCCATTTAATTGGCTAGTTATATTATCGGATTCATTTGGTTACAACGTGCCCTCCAATAGGACTGATTTTGTAGATACCGTTATAGTCACAATGCTATCCCTCAAAATCGAGATGAGTCAGCTTGTCAGAGTGCTGAAAGGGTCGGTCTTTATGTGACTGTATAGGTGACTAAAAATGTTGCAGCCACGATTCCCTTCGTTTTTACATTTGTTTTGTCTATAAAATGTGAATTTCATTTTACCAAATTCCATAAGATGTTTTTCAAGATCAGTGTTTCAATGTTTTTTCTCCTGTTGTTCTCCTCGAAATCGACGTCTCTAATTCTGCCTACTTAAACAATCAAAATTATACGAGAAGCGTAAGTCAGGGGGATTTGTTTGATGGGCAACCACTTCTTATGTCCTGCTATTTCTAATATTATACATGTTATACGAGAAATCGTAACATCTGTTGCTACTGCGTCCAAGCGAAGGCCGAAAATGAAACATTTCTACTTCCTAGGCTAGTTCAATCTCCTTCACATGCACGAGTTATTGCGCTTTACAGCGCCACAGGCAGCATCCAACTTTGTGGTCATTAGTCTCACTGTGCATGGACATTTCCTCTAATTTATTTTTACCCGAAAACGTACAACAAAACGTTAAAAATAATTGTTTGTGGCAACCGTGCTATTTAATATCAATTTCTGACTTTTGTAGAAATATAAAC